GATGCCACAACAGAGGCAACAACCTTTGCCCCCTCCACCTCTGCTGGTGCAAGTTGAACCGGATAACAATGACATAATCAACTTAACCCAGAAGTTCATGAAGATGAAACCACCAACTTTCTTAGGTGGTATTGAGTCATTAAAGGTGAAAACATGGCTGCTCGAAATGGAGAAATTATTTGAAGTTTTTCCTTGCACCGAGACTCAGAAGACTCCCAAAGAAAAAGCCCGAAAGCGGTGGTTGTTAATTCGAGATCGTAATGGGAATATGACATGGGCTCGATTCAACGAGATCTTCTACAACAAGTACTTTTCCTAATGCTTCAGAGATCGAAAAGTGTCAGAATTTCAAGAACTTAAGCAAGCCAAGATGTCAGTGACCGAGTATGAGATCAGGTTTACTGAATTAGCTCGTTTCACCCCACACATGGTGGACACAGATTATAAGAAAGCTCAAAAATTTGAAGGAGGACTGGATCTAGATGTGTTTGATCAGTGTAAACACTCCATTTTTGACCGCCCTTAAGACTTGGGGGCCTCAGGTTGATTGCTCGAGGATAAAGGCTATATTGTGCAATGGTTCGATTTCTTCGGCAAGAGGAGCTTCAAATCCCAACCTTACATCTCATTTTGGACCAAAACTTTTTTAGACCTTAAAGCCCTCTCTTTCAAAATATTTTTGAAAAATTTTCTACGATGTTCCGAGGCTCATATTTCGTTAAAAATTACACTTTTCGGTAAACCGAGCAAGGAAAAAATGGAAATAAGTGAAAGAGATGTGAAATCTTTGAAAAATCTTTAAAGCACCTTATTTAGAGGTTTGGAGTTGAAGAAAATTGGAGGAAAGGGAAGAAACCTAGTTGGAGAAGAAGTTGGGCATAAACCGTTGAGGGAGAATTGAGCAGCCTCCACTAAATAAGTTCTATCCTTTTGTACACTTGGAGTTTAGTTGTGAGGCCACCACCATTGGAAATAGGACTTTTGGGGCTTCATTTTGCACTCAAGAATCTCTTAAAGCTGAGTCCGGATGAGGGAGATATGGTTGTTGGAAGTTAGGTATCAATCTGATTGAGCCATAAATGAGCAACCTTCACTAAAATAAACATATCTTTTTTCAAACTTAGAATTTTTATGTGAGGATGCCACCAATGGAAAGAAGACTTCTAGGGCTTCAATTTAGACTTAATAATGACCTGCAAAGGAGTCCGGATGAAGGAGATATGCCCGTTGAAGTCGGGCCTGGAAGCAGATTTTTGGTGGCCGACCGGCCACCAATGAAACATGTCGGCCATTGATGAAAAAAGCTCAGATTTTGTAGATATTTTCCTCCAGCTATCTCCCACAAGCTCCAGCTGTTTGTTTTGTTGATATTTTCGACCTGAGCTCTCATTTTTCTATATATAGAGGACCTTCTCTATTGTTTTCAAGGTTAGAACATTTTAGGAGTGAAAATTTTTTGGGAGTCTCTCTCTCTACATTTCTTTCTCTCTTGAGCTTTTGTGCTTAGAAGCTTACATACTTCAAACTTTAACCTATCAACCCTTAATCAAAGTGGTTGGTCTTTGGGCTGAGGTTGCTTGAAGCTTTCTTGGAACTCCTTAAGTGGGTTTTGGCTTGAATTGTGGTCTAGAATCACTCTCCCCTTCAAGAGGTATAACCTTTGCCCTTTAAAGCTTGTTTTCCATGTTTGTTTTTCCATCTTTTTGTACTGTTTTGGGGCTGGTTTTGAACTGAAAAAACCTCTATTTTTGTGACTTAAAAGTGGTGGTTTGAGGCCATTTTCAGTTAAGGGGTGGTTCACCCTTCTTGTTCCTTTGCTTGTTAAGCTTTTGTGCCTTTATTCATCACTTTCAAACCAACTTTTTAAAGCCTTTTAACCAGTGAATTTCAGAGTATTTTCAGTGGTAAAAAAAATCATGTTTTGAAGTCCAAAAGTGAAGGGGTTAGCCTCCCCTCTTTGTGCCTTGTTTGCATGCCTAGTTAGCTTCACATGTTAGCATGTTTTTTTAGCTTAACTTAGCTCAAGTCCAGCATGTTTTAGCCTCTAAAATAACCTGTTTTAGCTCTGTTTTGGGCTGGTTAGTTTGTTTGAGTCTTGTTTTGCATGGTTGTAGTGCAACCCCATGTATTAACTTATTATTTTAGCTACTTTTGTCTTCATTCCAGCATGTTTTCCAACTGATTTTGGGCTATAAAAACTCTATGTTTTTTGACTGAAGCTTGGGTCCTAAGGCCATTAAAGGTTGAGGGGTTGATAGCCCTTCCTTGTACCTTGTTTTGGAGGCCTTTGCCCTTGTGTTTCCCACCCTTTTACTATCTTTTTTCAAGCTTTTATACATTGATTTTCAAAGCTATTTCAGTGGCTAAAAACATGTTTTGAAGTCCAAATTTGGAGGGGTTAGCCTCCCCTCCTTGTATCTTGCTTACTAGTCTAGTATGCTCCTTATCTTAGCCTATTAATCTAGCATTTTCTAGTTTAATTCCAACATGTTTTAGGACCTATTTTGGACTAATTTAAGACTGTTTTGAGCTGTTGGCTGCATTTGAGCTTTGTTTTGTATGCCTCTAGTGTAATAGTCCTCACAAGTTTGGTGTTCTAGGCCTTAGACACCTTTATGCCTTTATCACTCATTTTTAGCATTTAATCATCTCTGCAACCTTCCTCCTTTCTTGGTTTTACTTTTTCTTTGAAAGTGGTTCAAACCATTTGCTTGTTTAAAGCATGAAATTGAGGTTTTTGTGCTTAATGGTTTAATCCTTTTGGGGGTTCATTACCAATGGCATGAGGTCTCTTTCATGCCTAAAATGACTTATGGTTTGAGCCTTCTTTCCATTAGAGGACAATTCACCATTTGGACTAATTGATTAAAGGATGATTTGGTAATTAAAATGAGTAAATAAAATTGGCAAGTAAAAGTGTGCAAGATAAGCATTCTTTGTGTTGCATTGCATGTGTTCAAATCGGACGTTAATTTGAACATAAGAAAAATGGAACATTTCATACTCAAAGTGATAAAATGCGCCACTTTCCTTGGTCTCCATTGCCCTTGATCATGTATGATAGAGTGATGGACATTTGGTCTCATTTTGCATTCATTGAACTTGCACAATTGGTTTCACAAACCATCATGCAATGAAATTGCTTGATTGATGGTTTGTAAACCCAAAATTTGTCCCTCCTTTGATCTCCCCATGAAAAGGAGAGGCAAAGTGTGCAAATAATGCAAGTTTACATATATTTCCTCAAGTTTTGGGCCCAAAAGGATGTGTTTTGTTGGTTTGAATTTGAGTTTTGAAGCTTGGAGAGCAATATGGAAATTCCAAAATTTGCACCATTCGCTTGAGTGGTGGAGTCTGCGCTCGAGCGGAGAATGCGAGCTCCAAGAAGTTTTATAGACTTTTACAGACCGCTCGAGCATAGGAAATTGTGCTTGAGCGGAGAATCTGTTTACCCAATCTTGCGCTCAAGCAACGGTCAAGCAGAAAAATCAAGCAACCAGTACTTTTGCAGACTTTGCAGACTGCCTGAGTGACCAATATTGCGCTCGAGCGGACTGCCCTGTTTTTGAAAATTTGACTAAATGTTCTAAAGTACATTTTGGCATCCTCATTGCATCTTAGGCATTCCTAAGCCTTAATTAGGATATAATTAAGAGGATAAGGATTGGAAACACACCAAGAATGAACCGAAATAAAATAAGTACTTTCCAAGTGTGTGTTTCAATGTGTATCCATTATGTGTTTGTGTAGGTCACGCACCATAAGCTGTCTGATCTGTCTGCCTTATTTGATCTGCTAGCGGAGCCATCTGTGAGTAATAAGTTAGTAAAGCTATGTTCAACTTTATTTATTTTCTATATGATAAAATAAGATCTGTTTTCTGAAATGTTATGTTCTGTACAATGAATGATTGTCTAATTTCTGACATGTATTCGTAGCATCCTTAACATCTTGTGATATTTGTTAGCTGTTACCTGGTATCGGAGGTTCCATTATGGTACTTAGTATATCTATTATCTGTTACCCATATCGGAGGCTCAATTATGAAGCTTAGCATATCTGTCATCTGTTACCCAGATCCGAAGGTTCCTTTATGGAACTGGTTACTCATAACCACCATCTGTTCTGTATCTGCTCTGTATCTATTTTGTATCTGTTCTGTTAGCACTAATGGATGTATCACGTATGATTAAGCATGAATCTCTGACTTTTGTATATAAATCTGTTTTTGATTTCCGAATTTGGTATGGGACATCATTTATTAGACCATTTACTTTATTATTATTCACTGGGCTCCCGCTCACAGTATTATTTATGTATGTAGGTGAGCAGGTGCGCAACCAGGCTCAATGATGAATGCTTGGAAATTTGTTTTGTCGGCCAACCTTTGTGCCTCCCGAGGAGGTTTTGGAAAAGTCATGTGGTCGTGTTTTGTGAACTAAGTTTAAGACTTCGTTTTCTCTTGTAAATTTTGAACAAGTTTTTATTTATCTATATATTGGGCTAAGTCCCCTTTTGGTTTTATCTGTATATATGCTTGGCATAAGACTAATGTAAATATGACGTCACATGTATGTATATAATGTTTTAAATTTCTATTCTGTGTATGTTTGCACAGCTCAATGAACTATGTATGTTTTATATATTTGCTTTCGTAGCCCCTTATTATGTGTTAATTGTTCAGAGGCCTTTGGTAAACCCAGGATTACTGGCCGGTTATAATGCTAAACTTATAGGGGCGGGTTTGGGATTGTGACAGAGTGATATCAAAACACGTGTTCTACCCACACACGAGTCCATATGAGCTATAGGATGTCCTAGAAAAGAATTAGGAGCATTTCATCTGCATGGGTGAGTGTATATGATAATGTCTGTAAATGTGAAAACTGAATCTGAACATGAACACATGAAATTGAAAAGAACGAACTGAAATGGACTGCTCTAAACACTATAAAGAATTATTTGCCTTTGTTTATTGGTGCTCTGTTTACCTATAGCAAATGGAAAATACACGAAGTAATGATGCCACTGAATCCTGGGAGGCCCGAATAAGTCGAATGGAACAGATGCTTATAGCTTTGACTGAAGCAATGATGCCACAACAGAGGCAACAACCTTTGCCCCCTCCACCTCTGCTGGTGCAAGTTGAACCGGATAACAATGACATAATCAACTTAACCCAGAAGTTCATGAAGATGAAACCACCAACTTTCTTAGGTGGTATTGAGTCATTAAAGGCGAAAACATGTCTGCTCGAAATGGAGAAATTATTTGAAGTTTTTCCTTGCACCGAGACTCAGAAGACTCTCAAAGATAAAGCCCGAAAGTGGTGGTTGTTAATCCGAGATCGTAATGGGAATATGACATGGGCTCGATTCAACGAGATCTTCTACAACAAGTACTTTTCCCAATGCTTCAGAAATCGAAAAGTGTCAGAATTTCAAGAACTTAAGCAAGCCAAGATGTCAGTGACCGAGTATGAGGCCAGGTTTACTGAATTAGCTCGTTTCACCCCACACATGGTGGACACAGATTATAAGAAAGCTCAAAAATTTGAAGGAGGACTGGATCTAGATGTGTTTGATTGGTGTAGACACCCCATTTTTGACCGCCCTTAAGACTTGGGGGCCTCAGGTTGATTGCTCGAGGATAAAGGCTATATTGTGCAAAGGTTCGATTTCTTCAGCAAGAGGAGCTTCAAATCCCAACCTTACATCCCATTTTGGACCAAAACTATTTTGACCAAAACTTTTTTAGGCCTTAAAACCCTCTCTTTCAAAATATTTTTGAAAAATTTTCTACGATGTTCCGAGGCTCGCATTTCGTTAAAAATTACACTTTTTGGTAAACCGAGCTAGGAAAAAATGGAAATAAATGAAAGAGATGTGAAATATTTGAAAAATATTTAAAGCACCTTATTTAGAGGTTTGGAGTTGAAGAAAATTGGAGGAGAGGGAAGAAACCTAGTTGGAGAAGAAGTTGGGCATAAACCGTTGAGGGAGAATTGAGTAGCCTCCACTAAATAAGTTCTATCATTTTGTACACTTGGAGTTTAGTTGTGAGTCCACCACCATTGGAAATAGGACTTCTGGGGCTTCATTTTACACTCAAGAATCTCCTAAAGCTGAGTCCGGATGAGGGAGATATGGTTGTTGGAAGTTAGGTATCAATCCGATTGAGCCAGAAATGAGCAACCTTCACTAAAATAAACATATCTTTTTGCACACTTAGAATTTTTATGTGAGGATGCCACCAATGGAAAGAAGACTTCTGGGGCTTCAATTTAGACTTAATAATGACCTGCAAAGGAGTCTGGATGAAGGAGATATGCCCGTTTGAAGTCAGGCCTGGAAGCAGATTTTTGGTGGCCAACCGGCCACCAATGAAACATGTCGGCCACTGATGAAAAAAGCTCAGATTTTGCAGATATTTTCCTTCAGCTACCTCCCACAAGCTCCAACTGTCTGTTTTGTTGATATTTTCGACCTGAGCTCTCATTTTTCTATATATAAGGACCTTCTCTATTGTTTTCAAGGTTAGAACATTTTAGGAGTGAAAATTTTTTGGGAGTCTCTCTCTCTACATTTCTTTTTCTCTTGAGCTTTTGTGCTTAGAAGCTTACATACTTTAAACTTTAACCTATCAACCCTTAATCAAAGTGGTTGGTCTTTGGGCTGAGGTTGCTTGAAGCTCTCTTGGAACTCCTTAAGTGGGTTTTGGCTTGAATTGTGGCCTAGAATCACTCTTCCCTTCAAGAGGTATAACCTTTACCCTTTAAAGCTTGTTTTCCATGTTTGTTTTTCCATCTTTTTGTACCGTTTTGGGGCTGGTTTTGAACTGAAAAAACCTCTGTTTTTGTGACCTAAAAGTGGTGGTTTGAGGCCATTTTCAGTTAAGGGGTGGTTCACCCTTCTTGTTCCTTTGCTTGTTAAGCTTTTGTGCCTTTATTCATCACTTTCAAACCAACTTTTTTAGGCCTTTTAACCAGTGAATTTCAGAGTATTTTCAGTGGTAAAAAATCATGTTTTGAAGTCCAAAAGTGAAGGGGTTAGCCTCCCCTCCTTGTGCCTTGTTTGCATGCCTAGTTAGCTTCACATGTTAGTATGTTTTTTTAGCTTAACGTAGCTCAAGTCCAGCATGTTTTAGCCTCTAAAATAACCTGTTTTAGTTCTATTTTGGGCTGGTTAGTTTGTTTGAGTCTTGTTTTGCATGGTTGTACTGTAACCCCATATATTAACTTATTATTTTAGCTACTTTTGTCTTCATTCCAGCATGTTTTCCAACTGATTTTGGGCTATAAAAACTCTGTATTTTTGGACTGAAGCTTGGGTCCTAAGGCCATTAAAGGTTGAGGGGTTGATAGCCCTTCTTTGTACCTTGTTTTGGAGGCCTTTGCCCTTGTGTTTCCCACCATTTTACTATCTTTTTTCAAGCTTTTATACATTGATTTTCAGAGCTATTTCAGTGGCTAAAAACATGTTTTGAAGTCCAAATTTGGAGGGGTTAGCCTCCCCTCCTTGTACCTTGCTTACTAGTCTAGCACGCTCCTTATCTTAGCCTATTAATCTAGCCTTTTCTAGTTTAATTCCAGCATGTTTTAGGACCTATTTTGGACTAATTTAAGACTGTTTTGAGCTGTTGGCTACATTTGAGCTTTGTTTTGTATGCCTCTAGTGTAATAGTCCTCACAAGTTTGGTGTTCTAGGCCTTAGACACCTTTATGCCTTTATCACTCATTTTTAGCATTGAATCATCTCTGCAACCTTCCTCCTTTCTTGGTTTTACTTTTTCTTTGAAAGTGGTTCAAACCATTTGCTTGTTTAAAGCATGAAATTGAGGTTTTTGTGCTTAATGGTTTAATCCCTTTGGGGGTTCATTACCAATGGAATGAGGTCTCTTTCATGCCTAAAACGACTTGTGGTTTGAGCCTTTTTTCCATTAGAGGACAATTCACCATTTGGACTAATTGATTAAAGGATGATTTGGTAATTAAAATGAGTAAATAAAATTGGCAAGTAAAAGTGTGCAAGATAAGCATTCTTTGTGTTGCATTGCATGTGTTCAAATCGAACGTTAATTTGAACACAAGAAAAATGGAACATTTCATACTCAAAGTGATAAAATGTGCCACTTTCCTTGGTCTCCATAGCCCTTGATCATGCATGATAGAGTGATGGACATTTGGTCTCATTTTGCATTCATTGAACTTGCACAATTGGTTTCACAAACCATCATGCAATGAAATTGCTTGATTGATGGTTTGTAAACCCAAAATTTGTCCCTCCTTTGATCTCCCCATGAAAAGGAGAGGCAAAGTGTGCAAATAATCTGTGAAAATACAGTGTTTTGCTCTTCTGCTCTCTGTTGCAGCAAAAGAGGAGTTCATGTCATCAGTGGCCGACCGGCCACCACTAGCAGTCGATCGGCCACCATTGGTAGCTGATAGGCCCCCTGTCGGCCACCAATAAAATTTGCACAGTGTGTTCCTAAGGTGGAGCAGAGATATTCTGGAAGTTGGCAGAATTTTTGGTGTTCAAATGTGCAAACAGAGGCTCGTAGCAGCAAAACGGTGACTTTTCAGGTGGAAAAACCGAGCATGCATGCATCCCTCATTTCCCGAGGCTGTTTCGTTAACTTGTCTAGTTAATTAGTTGATTAATTCGTGTTGTAATTAATTAGCTTAGTTGTTTTGTAATTAATTAGTTAAGTATCTAGCTAATTAGTTTGTTTGTAATATTCAATTAGCTTAGAATAGTTGATTAGTTTTAAGTGTTGCAATAATTAGCTTAGCTTAGCTTTTATTCATTCAGACCCTCATTCGCGAGGGCATAATGTTGTAATAAGTGTGCGTGCGTGTGTGTATGTCTTCCAACCTCACGTCTTTCTCCATTTTATTTAATCGCTTTTGATGGTTATATTAGGGAAATTTTCAATTAGGATACCTTATGCTTGCATGTTTGCATCCATTCATTTGTCTTGCATGCACCGAGGCTCGGCGTATCATTCAAACTGCATTGTGAATTTCAATATCTTCTTTGAATACGTGTTTAGTCGCATGTTGTTCAAATCGATCCATATGCCATATTAGTAGCCGGGCCTATTAATTACATTATTGCATGTGTTACATTAGACACTTAACATTGTTAGGATCATGTATCTTTCTAACTAGTTTTTGTTTTGGCTTAGAGTACTCGGTAAGTTTTTGCGCTTTAGCATACTTGCATACGTGTGATTGCCATGTTGCCATGATTAGCATACTTGCCATGAGGCTATGTGCTTAAATGCTAAACTGCATGAATGCTTATTGATGAAACCTTGTTGTTTGAATTGGAACAATTCAACAAATGTAAGTTTTAAGCCCACTTTGTTGAGTGGCAAATCATGTTTAAGCCCACTATGTTTGGTGGCAAATCCGCATCTTTAAGCCCACTTGAGGTGGCAAATTCAAACCATTTTCGCAAACAAACATGACTTGAAATGTTCTAATTCTTGCGATTTAGTCTATACTTGTATGCATGTGCATCATATAGTAAAGTTAGTTTAATAACCAGAATAAGAACACATAATGTTTATAAAAAATCATATCATGATTAATAGAGGCCGATCTTTGATCGAGCGAGCGGGGATGCTCAATTCATGAGCTTCCCCTCTCGTACCCAAGTTCCCGAGCTGAGGCAACTTTGGTGATGACGAACACATGGCCTTTTGAACGAGTCAGGGTTTCCTAAATTTTTCCAAAATAAAATATTTAGGTGGCGACTCTGTATCTGGAAAAACAATCCAATTTTGGCATTATTTGATTTAAAATCAATTTTCCAAAAAGATTTGCCAAATTTGGACTCTTTTGTGTTTTTCTATTTCACATTGCAGTTGTGAAATCAGATTTAGAACCACTGGAGTTTGAATTGTAGGGCTTCTCGTCTTCCAAAAGGAGCATGAAAAGTCGAGCTACAGTTTCTGGCGACTCTGTTGGGAAATTTAGAGAACTTGACTTGGACTTCATGATGTGAATTTTTAACTACACTTATATGTTCTTTGCATTGCATTTGCATTGGTGCGCTTAAGTCACTATGTTTGCCAATTATTATTCCTAGACGGTTTGCTAGAGGCTTGCCCAAAAGGTTGACTGGTCATGGGGTTTGACATGTTGGGAACACAACCCTTGGATCTGGACTACCACTGTGCCGTTTGATCCTCATTTTGCTTCTCGGTGTAAGGTGTGAGAGGTATATTAGGTGGTCTTGCTGAGGTACCCATTTGGCCATTTGGCCTAGTTCCATATAGTGATGCCATAAAGACTGTTCCAAACTAGGATAGGATGCTCATCCGAGTATAGGATTTTATGAAACCACGTGTTTGAAATAGTGAACCCTAGTTCTTACGTGGCCTTTTGCACGAGTCAAGGTTTCCTAAATTTTTCCAAAATAAAATATTTAGGTGGCGACTCAGTATCTGGAAAAGCAGTCCAATTTTGGCATTATTTGATTTAAAATCAATTTTCCAAAAAGATTTGCCAAATTTGGACTCTTTGGTGTTTATCAGTTTCACATTGCACTTGTGAGACTAGATTCAAAACCGCGGGAGTTCGAACTGTGAGGCCTTTCATTTCAAACCTTCC